CCCCCACCCTCTCTCTCATTTCATTGACGTTGCACTGACTCATCCTGCTCCGACACTCTGACGGGGGAGGGGCTAGTAGTGCCTCTCAGGTATGTGAGTAAGTATTTGTACTTTACAAGTCTGCCTGCGACCCTGTCAGTGTGAGGCGACAGCTCTGACCGCTGAGCCACCGCACACTTTAAAGCTCTGAGGACAGAGAAATGAGGCCTTTCATTCATTTTGAGTGTTTTAAGTAAACAACAGAGGAAATAGATTATTTTAAACCTTTATCACATTTTCTAATTTATTGTTTCAGGTTTGAAACGTTAAGTTTCTGAGTTTCGGCGATAACAAACACATTTCCATCCATCAGGGCCCGTCTCACAGCTGCTCCTGCTTCAACTCTTTTATCTCACGGTTTGGGGATGAAGGCTCAGATTTGTGGGCCAGCCTCTCTGCGCCGCTGTCGTCCGTCACACTCACTTCTCCTCCTTTTATTGTGCTTTATGTTTTAATCTGGCAGGAAAACAGAGGGGGCAACTTCTGAGAGTTTTCTCTGTAATCCTCCATCCTCTGCACATGTCACACTCCTGTGTTTGGAGAGGGATCATCTACACGAGTGCTTTGCTCTGACAGATTCATCGTGGCAGCAGCAGGAAATAAAAAAATGCAGATCTGTTTCTGAGCGGGCCTCCTGTCTCTTACGCTCTTTGCTCTGCCCATCTTTATCGTGCACAGCCTTTTTTTCCCTCAAATAGCCGTACGCTGACTAATAGCTGCCAGCTCAGGGTTTGTGAAAGTGTTTTAATTTGTTTTTGTTTGTTGTTTATCGCTGCAGCACATCTCTCTGTTCTGATGCAAGTTTAGCTCCACGCAGATTAAAAAGAGGAGAAAACTGCTGGTTGCTCCATGAAGCTCGTCTCCTCCACACGGGAGGAGGGACGGCAGGTTTACGAGCAGAAACCTTCCAACCTGCTGCAAATCTTCCCCTCCTCGACATCAAATGGACTTACAGGAGGCTCACTATCTAAACCATCCAAAGCCCCTTTTTCCATTACCTCCTTCCTTCCACCGTTTATCCATAAGCTATTTTCTAGGCTGTCAAGAACGCTGGATGCCTTCCCGGTGAATCAAAGCTGATAACTAACCAGCAAAAAGCCCCAGCCCATTAAACCAGAAAGAGTTGGATGTCGGGGAAAATTACAGGCCTTTACCGAGCCGAGCCGCACTTTTATAACTTCATGCTGAACAGAAACACAAAAACATCCTGTCGTTGTTCTCTGTGCATAAAATACCTGCTGAAGATTTCATCTGTTAAACAGGAAGAAATGATTTATAAACCTCATTGATCTTATTTTGTTTATCACAGTGGAAAAGTAAATCAACTTTCATGATCTGTTCAGAAAACTGTTAGAAATAACAGAATTAAAGTCCAGAAGTTTCTCCCCTGGGACTTTCAAGAGATTCAAGATGTCTGCTAACATGATATTTCTCATATTTCAGGCTTAAATCATCATAAAAATGCAAAGAATGAGTCTAAATGTATCAGAAACTGAGCAGGAGAGAGAGCTTGCACCATGCTGGTAAATATATTTTACCAATTTTAACATAAGAATGACTTGTAAGCAAACCTTGTTCTGACTTTTCTGCAGATGAACAGCATGTCATGAAACCCTAGGTTATTAAAGGATGTTATGAATTACTTGCTTAAACATAAAAGTATTAGTTCCATTACATTTGTAATTGTTTTATTATTTGTTTTTTGTTCATGCTTTAATAAAGTCCATGAATCTGAAGAATTTACTCCCAAGGTTTCTGTATTATTAATTTTTTTTGGCCACTTTAGTAGAAAACAAAACTGAATGTTAGTTTCTTAATTTCCGCATCATTAGTGACCTTTTTTTAAATATATACTGGAGTAAAAAAGAAAAAGAGAAATATAAGAACTGTAGAAAGAAAGTGGTAAAAATGAAATGTACAATAACACAAGACAACACACCTGACCTCTGACCAATAGAAAATGAAGAAAACAAACACCCAGCAACCAACCATGAACATATGTATGTACATTTATAAACATATACACATAGACATACAGCGGGTAAAATAAGTATTGAACACGTCACCATTTTTCTCAGTAAATATATTACTAGAGGTGCTAATGACATGAAATTTTCACCA